GTCGATGCGGGAGTGCCAGCGTTGTATGTCGTAGAGTAGGCTAACACGGTGGTTGCTAACAGCCATCAGGCAGGGTGCGTGTGTTCCCCCATGTGCAGGTGTCCATAGTTGTGTGGCCTTGTGGGCTGGTAAGTCAGAGTCGGCAATGATGAGGAAGTCGAGCGCATTGGCTCGGAACCACGTGGCCAGTTCGGCGCTCAATTTACCATACGTGTTTTTATTGATGTTGGTCGCCGCGATACGCAGGCTATCTACCCGCAGGTCCAGGGTCGGGGTTGAGCCCGCGTCTCCGATGTAGGCCTCACCCTCTAGGGTTTCCCTCCGGAGGACGTTGTCCCGTTGGATGCGAGCTGTGTGCATGCCCGGGAGGGGAGGGGGAGACGCTGGATCCGCCAGGAGCGGCGGCGGCGTCGCCGGGGCGTGGGAGTGGGGGGGAGGTCGTGGGGGGCTGGTGTAGGTCGTCCGCGATGCGGTGGTCGAGTTGTTCGGAGTTATTGGAGTCGTCTGAGGAGGGAGGGTCACGTAGGTGGTCGAAAGGATACGCAGCATGTAGGGGTTGCACTGAGTGTGCCAGTTGGCGTACAGAGAGAAAATTGGAGTCCGGTTGGGTGGCAGCGGCCATGGGTACGGAGCAAGTGGACCACAGCAGAAAGCTCATGAACCACCAGAGTACAGACCAGGGACGTTGCCGGGGTGTCGTTGGTCTGACCCGATACCCCGAGGTTAGTTTGACTCTATAGTGTCTTTTGGGTCTGTCCCCATGGAGTCATCGTGTCCGGCTGGCTGGTTAAGTGGAACGGGACCATCAGGGGCGGGGGGAGAGGGCGTTAGCGTAGGCTGGGCGGGGTACGCGGCTGGTAGTCTGGTCGCAGGGGTGCCGAGGGTGGCGAGGCCCGCGAGTTGGGAGAGGAGACGCTCTGCATGGCCTGCATAAGTGTGCGTAGGCTGGATTCGATGAAGGGGAGGCGTTCGGCCATTGCCTCTTGGTGGGTGCCTTGTTGGGTGATGGTGGTTTGCAGGCGGTTTTGCGCTTCCGTCAACTTGCGTTGGTCCTCGGATTGTTGGTGTTCAGCAGCCTCACGGAGGCGGCGTTCTTCTAGGAGTCGTGCATCGAGGGTGGTGAAGGCTGCACTGGTGGCAGATTCGAAGGCTGTGAGGGCCTCCTTATCCGCGCGGAGGGTATCAACTTCCTGCTGGAGTGGGCCTGTGGCCAGGACGATACGGTGGTCCACGTATTTGGAGAGTTCCCGTCGGAGGTGTGGGACGAGGTCCGTAGTCGGGGCTGATGCGTGCAACGGTTGTTGGTGAGGGGGGTATTGCCAGGATTGGGGGTTGTGGCTGACCGTGGTGGAGTGTTGTGAGACTGATCGTCCTGCACGCGTGTACACACTCTGACTGCGCGAACGTGCTCCCGTACTCTTGGGGCCACGGGGAGTGGATTTATGTCGCGATTTGCTGCGTGCCCGATCGTGGGGGTCCAGGTAGGTGAAGCGATCGCATGGTTTGCCCTGGTGATCCAGGCGGCCACAGTCCGGACATTGCAGTGCCACCGCCGTGGTACGTGTGCGTCCCATGAGTACGTGGAGCTGGACGGCTATATTTCGTACGTAGAGACGGGTGGTCCCATGTGGGCCTGAGGCGTCCAGAGGAAGGCTGCCGGTGAGGGGGAGTCAAAAGTGAGGGTTGCGTAGTCGTCGATAATGTCCACATCAGGTGAGGGAAGCTGGGAGCCATGCAGTACCTCCAGGATGTCCGCAGGAGTGGTAAGTGTAGGTAGAGGGCCGATGCGAACTTTGGTGGCCACAAGTTTGGTTGCACTGAGGGACAAGGGGTGGAAGAAAGTGGATGAGGGGTTGTCCCAGCTGAGGTCACGCAGTGGGTGTAGCTTCATCGAGGGAGGAACCTGGTCCAGGCGGTTTGTTCCCGCAGCATGCAGACGGTAGTTGGCATAGACTGTTTCGGCCATGGTTTGGCTGGGGAAGACTAGTCGGAAGCGGTAGTTGCCCTCTGTGGGCCAGTTTACACACCCAATGGCCGCCCAATGATCCCGTGGCCCTTGACATACGTGAGTAGCTCTGGACAATGGCATCGGTGGCCCCAAGGGCGCGGAGGGCACACAGTATGTCAGCAGGAGCTAGTTTAGACCGGTTGCGGTATTCCAGCTGGTGGTAGGAGAGCCCGTTGCTGAGGACTCCAGCATACTGGTAAAGCATTACGACAGAGATGTCCCGGAGGAATAGGTATCCACGTCGTGGGGCTGCCCAGGCTAGGGCGGTGCGTTGAATGGGGGTCCCCAGGAGCTGCTGCCCGTGTTCACTGAGCCCGCCGTGGAAGGTGAGCCCGAACCGTTCCTCGCAGATTGTCTCGATTTCTTTCCTGAAGTTGACGATGCTGAGTGGGTTGTCAGGCTGCTGGAGCGACGGATTGATAGAGAACTGGATCCTAACCATGGTCTCGGAGAAGTGTTGCTCGATATCCGTAATCTCCGCGGGAGTAAACCCTTGGAAGAGGTGTGCCTTGCGTTCCCAGTACATGGTCATTGTGCGGTATAGGATCGGTTGTCCTTCATCGCAGAGGTTGCGTAGACCTGGAAATTGGAGGACAGTGTTGGCATCATATTCGTCAAGGTCTTCCTCGTGTGAGGGTGGGTCGGTGGAGTCCTGCGAGTGCTGTGTAGGGTCGGGTGGACCTGGCTGGTAGGACGGGGTAGGCGGGTAGAGCATAGCTTGGTGGCGTTTGGATGGTGGTATCGTGAAGGAGGGGTGAGCAAGGTTCAGTCTGGATCAACTTCGGAGTGTGGGCGTTTGGTAGAGGGGTGGGTAACTGACTTGGTGGATGAGGTGGCCCGGTACGCGGCCTGTCTTATGGTTTCCATTGGCTGGACAGAGGCCAGTCCCAGTGGGGTGGGATGCTGGTCCGAATCTTGTACCAAGGTTACCGTTGGTCCGGTGGGTTGTGGGTGTGGTAATGTCCAGGTGTCCGAGGATGGTGGTGGGCTGGAGGGAGGCGTGGTCGAGCGTGGGTGCATGGGAGATGTGCTTGGTTGTGCAATGTGCCTATGGTGGAGACGGCTCAAGGATCGGTCCGGCGGAATTTGTTGCTGAACAGTGCCAGATGGTCCTGGTGATGGGTGAGGTAATGGGGCTGCTGGGAGTGGGACGTTTGTGCGATTGTGTGCCCCGGGGTGACGCAAAACCCTGGTGAGACATGGGACTGATGAGGTGGCGCGAAAACTCGTGGGCCATAGTGTGGTGCATCTGGGTGTTGTGGGGTCTGCAGTGCGGTTAGTTGTTAGCAGCCTGGCAGTAGTCGAAGGAGGTGGAGAGACAGTGGTAGGGGATGGTGTGAGACTGCTGGTCGGTATTGTGGTGGCATGGGTAGGAAGGGGATGTGCTGGAGTAGTGGGATGATGACGGGGAGCATGGGTGGCGAGTGCAGTATTGGGTGCACTGGCAAGGAGTGGCTGTGGTGGTTGGGGATGGAGAGTTTCTCGCGCGAGGTCCATGGGTCCTGTTGTGTTATCGGGGTTCTGTGTACATTGCCATGCCGCGGGGAGCGAGCTTTGCGTGGAGGAGCTGCGTATGGTCTTGGTGGAGTTAGGTGTGGTTGGCTTGGTAGTGTACGGGGCTGGGCTGTGGGCGGAAGTGGAGGGCAGGGCCTGAGGTGGGGTAGTGGGCGGGGATGGCTTGCGAGCAGGTCAGGGACGGATGGGTATATCATCCTCAGAGAGGTATTGGGTTGGAGTTCCCGTGTGGTTGGCCTGAGTGTTGCTCAGCCTGGATGGACGGAGTTAGCGTGTGAAAGGCCGCGTGGCGGCGCGAGTTGCCTGGATGCGATCCTGTCGGGCCAGGAATTTGTCGGCAGCTAATTTGGAACGTAGCTGGCGTGGGGTTAGTGGTGTGGGTGCAGGGGGCTGGTTCGTGTCGGGTTCCAAATCCGGGTCGGAGGAGGATGAAGGGAGCGGAGCGCGTATTGTGCCGGTAGCTGGCACGAGGGTGGGCGTGGGTATCCCGTTTCGGGTAACGAGTACTCTAACCATGGGGGTTGTCGTTGTCTCGGGCGTAGCTAGGGCTGGTGGCCGTCCTGGGTCCGGCGGGGGAGGGGTCATGGTCGTGTCGGTGGGATGTGTGAGTTGTTTTTTGGGGCGCCGCGACCCACTTGTGGGTTACCAGGTATATTTGGGAATGGTACGGTGTCGCATGTGATTTTGTTGGCAGTGAGGTAGGCAAGAGTTTTATCGGCAGCCCAGCGGCCGGTGGGTGTAAAGGCGAGTGTATCGCTTGTCCCAGACATCACACGCGATGGAGTGGTGCCGTTGAGGACGAAGCCAAGCCGTGGGGACTGGACTTGGCGGACGTGGCGACGGCGGACAACCGACAAGCGCGGTTTCGCCAGTATGCAATGGCATTAGCAAGGGCCGTGTATAATATGTAATTTAGAACGACAATATTGGTTCGCCTGGCTTTGATATATGCACTGCTTTACGGCGGCTGTCCATGCGAAATCTAGTCCATTTATTAAGTTTAAAAGAAAATTAGTTTTTTGAAAATTTATATTTTTTAATTTGGATCATAAAAAAAGAAAATTTATTGATTTTTGGCAATTTATATTCAATTTTATCTACAATTTTACTTATCATATATTTTTGTAGAAAATAGTTATTCTATATATTTTATAAAAAACAAGTCTTTTTTATGGTAGCGCAACATTCTGTTAGGTTTAAAAATGTCTTTTTTCGTTGTTTTATTTGTTTTGGGTAGAGCTACATATATTACCTAGATATCGTTATGATCAATTAATGCGTTTAGGTTGGAAACCTTTAATATATGAACCATAATATAAACCCCTAAACATATAAAAAATATTTCGGTTGTAATATCTCTACCAGTTATTCCAAAACTATCAATATTACGAATTTCATTAGAAAAACGTACAGTGTAGGGTTTTCAAGTAAGCAAAGCACTCCTGTTCTGTCCAAGATGAACCGTCAAAATGTGACGCGGTTGAGGCAAATGATCATCCTCGACAAGATTATCTTTTCCCGTGTCGAAAAAATAATGTATTTCTGCGCCTGCCGCATAGAGTTTATAGCCATTTATCTTTCGTGACAGAATCATCTTGTGTATATAGTAGAAGTATCTTTTTTGCTTGTGGTGTGTGCGCGTTAGTGGAGCTGCAACTCCACTGACGTACTGTATATATCGGCTTCCGGATGTGCTCTGTAGAGCGAATAATGGTGTCTGAAATCATCAGGGACCATTCAGTGCTCGGCGTCGAAGGCCATTAGCACACCAGCGAGTCTATCATGTGCCTTGTACGAATGGTTGGCCACTCCTACAACGGTGTTCTAAAACAGGTCGAAACCTGTCGACGCAACTATGACTGTGTCGTCGACTGGCCCAGGATCAGGTAGGCAGAGCCGAGCTATT